AACTAGCTTTACATGTAATTGGAAAAAAAATAAAATACTATTAAGAGGGGGGAATGTATAGAAAAAATTTTATTAAAAAAAAGAAATCACTTTTAAAACATTAAAAAAAAATCCACAATCCCATGATTCTTTGGGCTTCATGAAGGTCTGTCTAGGGAATAATGACTGACCAAAGTTAATATAGCCAAGCCCTTAAAACTCACGAACAGTCTTTTTGAAATCATGATTGGACTGCCCTGTCTTGGAAAACATTCAATGTTCCCTGGAGCCTTAGGCACAGGTAATTTATCTAGACTGTAAATTTGTTTTACAAACTGGGAAGTTTTTCATAATTATCTTAAAGATGACACAGTCTGAGTAACTTTAGAAGCCATCAGCATCTTAGTTGGAAAGAGAGCAGGAGAAAGGGTGAAAAGGAGCAGTGGGAAAACCTGCACAGTATGGCTTCTTATCACTTCAAAGAAAACTATTCTAGCTTAACAATACAGCAAAAAGCAGAAAGGTATACAATACATTAGAGTTAATGCAAGTGTTTCTTCTACTTAGGAAGGGAATCTCCCAAAATGTAGGCTGCATTACTGGCTTCATCACCCAATAAATAACACATAGATCTAATCTCACACAGTAAGTTGGTTACTCAATTAGCCTAACTCATACAGACTAACGGGCAGCTAGATGGTGCAACAGACAGAGCACGGGGCCTGGAGTCAGACAGACCTGAGTTTAAATCCAGCCTCTGATACTTACTAGCTATGTGAGCCTGGGCAATTCACTTAACCCTGCCTGCCTCATCTCATCTGTAAACTGAGCTGGAGAAAGAAATGGCAGAATATGCCAGTATCTCTGCCAAGAAAACCCCAAATGCGAAGGCAAAGAGCCAGACACAACTGAAACAACTGAACATATAGGGAGAAATTAATATGTAAGGATCACCCAAAACTGTCGTGGTGATAGAAGCCACATAAAGACAGACCAACAAAAAGCCCATTCATCATCACCATAATCAATCATTATCCTCACTACCACAACTACTACTCACACTTATATGGATTGTCTCATTTTAATTGAATAGATTGTCTCTAGTACTCCAATCATTCTTCATTTTTGCTTCTATCTGAAGCATCAGCCCCACGCTGTATCTAATAGCTAAATTCCTGGGTCAGGTTGCTGTATCTGTAATTCTCCTCACATATGCCCTTCTGCAAAAACTCCAGTTTAAAAGCCCCTCCCCCTCACGTAGACCTGGGAAATTGTTACTATATCTTTAAGAGAAGCAATGGAGGAATTTGTGAGAGTAACAGAGAAAGGACTGACAATCTTTCCTAACGAGGCTTTGAGAATTAACTATTACGAAGAAAAAACCTAAGAAAGACTACTAGAATTAACCTTCATCTTTGAGAGGATCTGAAGAGACATTTTGAGAGGACTGAGTTTAACTCTCATTCGGTGGAGAAGAAAATCTAAGAATTTCCAAGAAATTTTTAAATGTCATCCAAATTATTGGACTTTTATTCTAGTGTTTTAGAAGAGTCATCAATTGTACTTATTGAGGCAAGATCATTCTGGCTGATTGTTCTCACAACTGATTCACTGTTGAATTATTTAACTGTTTGTATTGTTTGTGACTGTTAATCAATTTTATAGCCACTAACAATGATGTTTGTCTAAGCATGAAAAGATAGGTGAAATTCTTGTTAGAACTGAAAATGGCTCAAAGCATGGAGGAATAGCTAACAGAGGGCAGAGTCTGGATTCAAAAAGATCTCAGAATGCTAGACTAATGGGTTGATTTTAATAAGATGAAATTTAGTAGCAATAAACATAAGGTTTTACACTTTGGTTAAAAGTTAAACTTGGGGCAGCTAGGTGGCGCTGTGGATAGAGCACTGGCCCTGAAGTCAGGAGGACCTGAGTTCAAATCCAGCCTCAGACCAAACACTTGCCACTTACTAGCTGCGTGACCCTGGGCAAGTCACTTAACCCCAATTGCCTAAAAACAAAACAAAACAAAAAAAAAGTTAAACTTTACAAATATGGATTAGGGGAAATGTAAATAAGCAACAGTCCTTCCAGTTGGCAGACTTTCACTGGCAAGAACTTCAACAACATAGAATCACTTCAACACACAATAAGATCCTGGGGTTAGACTTTAGTGAAGGAGCTGTCTCAGGCTGTAGTTTCTTTCTTGCTTCAAAGTGCCACACTCATATTTTAATTTCTGCCTGTAGAAGTAAGACTGAGAGATGGACCAAGCCCTTGCATTGGACTGAATCTACTTTCTGCTTACTGTATGTATCCTGAACTTTCCAGTACCAGCCCCACGAAGGGAGATTTCCTTGTTTTTATCCTTAGGATCTCTTCCTAATGTGAAGATAACTCTATGTTATGTCATTTGAACCCTGTCTTCTGAGATTACTTTCCATCTACACTTTGTGTGTGTGTGCGCGCATGTGTGTGTGTGTGTATCACATACTCATACATACATTGAAAAAAGGGACGTTTTTGTGTGTTTTTGCCTTTCTTTATATCCATAGTGCTTTAGCACAGTGTCTGACTGACTGAATGCTATCTCAACACTTATTCCTTGACAATATATTTCAAACATGTCAGGGTCCATTTATTCAAGTAGGCATAACACGAATGTTGTATTTAGCAACCCAATAATGCTAAACGAGACATTGAACATGTACCATATACATACCATCAATTATTATATGAAGAAGAGCATCATTACCACTTATCTGTGACCATCACCTTTTCAAACACATCTTAAAAGATTAATTATCAACAAGAGGCAGGCACTTTGTGTTTATGATCCTATTAAAGCTAAGTGGACTAATAAGGAGAAACAAATAATCATGGGGAAAAAACAGAACAAGAATAATATTTTTTAAAAGTTCCACACAGGCCCTATGTGTAACAGCTGGTTGGTTGGCTATTGTTGTTTGGGGAGGGGGAGGGCGGTAACATTAACCACTATGGATAAAATTGTACCGAGTGTGTATGGCAAGGTGAAAGCCACACTTTTCAGGCGCTCTTAAGGGAGAAACACACTAAATCCCAACCGTCTCTATCTGCTAGTTGATTGGTTAGCTTTTTAATTCTTTCATATTGAGCTCTAAGGCAATGTAGAAAGTATATTCTGAAATTACCATAAATTTCCACAAAAGCAGAAACAAACACAATTTACAGCTCTAAGTGCCCACCCCATTTTATTAAAAAAACTAAAGAAACCTTTTTTTTTGCTTTAAGCTTTTTCTCCTTTCTCAGTCTCCTGCCCTCTAAGACTCATAGCTTAGAGAAACATCACTGTCACAAGCTATAAAATTCATTAACAGTAACAAATAATACAAAGAGTTAAATAGTTCAATAATGAATTAGTTGAACTCCTAACAAGACACTCATTATTATTCTTCTATGAGTTTTGAGAACTGTTAACAGCCAAATGAAATTTTCACCCTTCAACTACCTTACTGGAAAGGCTCTAGAAATTTACCCAGACTGACTCAGACAAGCAACAATCAATTTCTTGGCTAATATTCAAAGCCTTGATAGTTAAAACAATCTATCAGAACTCATAATCTCCTGCTACAAACACATAAACCATCGGAGTAAGCTGTTAATAAGTGATGTAATAATACAATTTATTACAACAAAACTCTAATACAACAGAATGATATAAATGCCTTGTGGATTTTCTACATAGCAGTATTGGGCAAAATTCTGCCCTAAAGGCTTAAGAGAAATAGCCTTAAATTCCAGGTACTGTCTCAACTTCCTAATTTTAAGAGGTTCAATAAAGAGGATGACTTCAGTGTGTGTGTCTCTCTCTCATTCCAATAGATAGTTCTTATTTATGTGTAAGAAAAGAAAAAAATTCCACATTTTCATCTACTTTGTATGATGTTGCTGCCCCCTGCTGTTCCTAAATTTACCTAACTTTCTTTTCATGGCATTATATTTGTTTTTGATCATAAACCAAAAAAGCCCACAAGACAAAAGAAAACAGCAATTTTATAGCCAGATATTTAAAGCTTTAAAATCATAATTTCCCTTTGAAATATCAGTGCATTTAGTTAATTTTTCACTTCATCATTCTCATTGCTTTGAGGACTTCTGAATCTAAACAAAACTAATAATGTATTGTTCTTCTTAAGACTCAAGTTCCAGTTAATTTAACATAAATTCAAATTCTTTTCCAAAATCAGAAGCTGCCCCGTCACCTATTTTGCCTGCAATACCCAAGGAAACCTCAAATATTATGTTTCTAGTTCATTTATTAAAGTACAAAGATGTAGGTCAAACCTACAGACATATCCTGCTTTCAGGCAGCCTTGAGTGAGAAAATAGCATCCTTCAACTTTATTCCAACACTTTTCTGTTTCCTCCCACCTTGCCAAAGGTATCTATTGGACCCTGATGGCACAACAACACTAGCTGGCCATCTCATAAATGCTAATTGTCACAAGGATCACAAGAACATGGATACAGAACCAGAAGAGACCTTGGAGGACATCTGGTCCAACCACTCATTTTATAGATGAGGAAAGTTAAATAATGTCCCCAGGGTCACACTGATCAGAAATGCCAGAGCCAAGGTTCTAACCCAGGTCCCATGATTCCAAATCCAGCTTCCTTCCCTCCACTGAACTGCACTCCCTCCCAGACAGTGAACTGACGAATCACCAAGCTGGAAGGCATACCTAGAGATCAATTTATCCACCATATCATTTTAATATGATTAAACTCAGGCACAGGAGTTAAGGGACTTGAACATTTGCACAGCCAATGGACAGTACTGGAGCTCAGATGAGAACCCAGACCCTCCTACTGCAGCCCAGTTCCACTGTGAATCAGTATAAACTCTTTAATAGAAAAAGGTATAAATATAATTAAGGTGGGTTTGCAGCATCTTCTTTCTAATAGATTGCAGTGCATTTTCATGGCAATCAAGGACTGAGATTTCAATGGAAGAAAAAAAAAACACAATGATTTGTTACCTTCGTGTTTTTCCAGTGCTTCTATAACATTAGGAAGGTGGTTTATGGCTTGATAAATTCGGTAACAATCTTGTAAACTGGCTGCATGTCTCTGAAACTTTTTGGCAAATCGGTTAAGATCTGGGAAACGACGAAGTAAGTCTTCTTGTAAACTCTGTCTCAGCTCAGCATCTACTACAAAGACCTCCACTAAATTTAACCTGAAATAAAGCATTTATCAAAAATTAATCATAAATACCATAATAAAGCAAAACTAAAACCTCTCAACTACGAAAACAAAGTCTCAGTTGGATTACAAATTCCAAATATGTATCCAGAAGTAGGTAATCACAAAGCAGCTAGCAGCAGAAATCTTTAAAATATATACAAATGAAAAACTTTAAAGAAATATAATTGAATAATTATTTAACAGAGCTCTATCAAGGGATGATTAAATCTACATGTTACTTGATAAATTGAAAACATTTAAAATGATACTGCCATCTACTAGTTCAATATGAAGAAGTCTGAATGGTAAACAAAGATAGAATCAGTTAAAAAATACTCCTGTAAGATGCTTATGATATCAAGAATGATAATAGGTCAAATCAAATACTTGTCTTAGTAGGAGAATATAGTATAACAGCTTAGGGTTCATTCTAAAATGACACTGAAAATAAAAAATATAACTTTTTTAAATTATAAAAAAGTACCACTCATGTTAAATCACTAAATTAAACAAATAACCCACAAATATTATATAGGTGTTATTTTGTTTTTCTATAATAGAAAGGGATATGGAATTGGGTCTGTGATTTCACCATTATAGGAAAGTACTAAGTGAGGAAAATCCCAATACCAAAATAGGCCAGAACCATTTCTGCAACTTAAGAGTGTTAAAAAGATGCCTCAACAACTATGAAAATCAGCGGCATGTCCAGCATCACACAACTAGTATGTGTCAGAGGTGAGACTTTAACCCAGGTCGTCCTATCTTCAGGGCCAGTTCACTACACCTTCCTCTTTTTCTATATATTATAGAATAATAAAGAATTTATTTTTGTAATCAAGTGATTTCAATAAAAGACAATGAAGTAAACACAAAGGTAATTTAACAAAAATGTATAAGTCTAGGAATACCTTTCTAAAAACTTATAGCACATATATTCATATTGTCATACATAGAAAGCTTTTGTAAAAATGTCAAGGAGGGAGGAAATAAACTAATGCATATCAAATATCTCAGATGTGGAAAGGACCTCAGGGATCATTTATTTCAAACTATCCAGGAAGAGGAGTTCCATCAATACCATCCTTGGGTAACACTACCGGCAAAGTATTAAGTTTAGGCTAATGAAAAGAGCAGTTTGAAGAGAAGAAAACAGGAAACACACATAATGTAAAGGTCTTTTGAAATGAGAGCAGGAGGCTAAACTACTCCTCACCACATGCTAGATAGAAGACAAAGTGTTTCTCAAATCAAGGGGAAGGAAAATACGAATTCAGATTCAATTCTGGCAAGCTGAACCCTTGTATCTTCCAACATGAGAAGGTTGAGGCCACCCAGATGTAGGTAGGAAAAATGTGTGTGGCAGCCCAGGAATGGAAGGACCAGGACAAAAAGAGTATAGAGATGTGATGGAAATTATTGATAATAAAAGAATAAGGACAAAAAGCAAAAAAGGACAAAGGAAAGGCTAGGTATAAATCCAGTCCCCAAACACACATTTTTAAATAAAACCCTAGCAAAGATACTATAGCAATATAGCTAAAAATTATTCACTATGATCAAGTTGGATTAGTGCATGGGATGCAAGGATGGCTGAACAGTAGGAAAACAATGAACAATTAATGCCCCTTATCTTATTTTTTAAAAAATATTAATGTGTAATCACACCTCTCAGATTGGCTAACACGACAAAACAGGAAGATGATAAATGTTGGGAGAAGATGTGGGAAAACTGGAACACTAATGCATTGTTGGTGGAGTTGCAAACTGATCTAACCATTCTGGAAAGCAATTTGGAACTATGTCCAAAGGGCCATAAAACTGTGCATACCCTTTGACCCAACAATACTACTTCTAGGTTTGTATCTCAAAGAGATCATAAAAATGGGAAAAGGATCCACATGTACAAAAATATTTACAGCAGCTCTTTTTGTGGTGGCAAAGAATTGGAAATTGAGGGGATGCCTATAAATTGGGGAATGGCTAAACAAGTTGTGGTACATGAATGAATGAATGTGATGGAATACTATTGTTCCATAAGAAATGATGAGCAGGTGGCCTTCAGAAAAACCTGGAAAGGTTTACATGAACTGATGCTGGGTGAAGTGAGCAGAACTAGGAGAACACTGTACACAGTAACAGTCACATTGTGTGATGATCAACTGCAACATACTTAGGTCTTCTCAGCACTACAATGATCTAAGACAACTCCAAAAGACGCTTGATAGAAAATGCTATCCATATGCAGAAAAAAAAAACTATGGAGTCTGAAAGAAGATCAAAATGTACTATTTGCTTTTTGTTGTTTCTTCTTTCTCGTGCTTCCTCCCACTGGTTCTAATTCTTCTTTTCAACATCACTAATGTGAAAATATGCTGAATATGACCGTGTATGTAGAGCCTATATCAGATTGCATGCCATCTTGGGCTGGGGGGAAGGGGAGGAACGGGGAAAAAATTTGGAACTCAAAATCTTACGTTAGTGAATGTCGAAAACTAAAAATAATTAATATTTTAAAAAATATTAATGTGTATGCATGTCAATGTGTATGGATGTATGCACATATGCACGTACACATGTATTTTTAAATCATCAAAATGTGTGGCACCCCAGGAACAGAAGGACCAGGACAAAAAGAGTATAGAGATATGATAGAAACTATTGATAATAAAAGAATAAGGACAAAGAGCAAAAAGGACAAGGGAAATATTAGGTATGAATCTAGCCCCCAGTTAACCCAACCAACTCAAAGGGAAAAAAAAGCAAACATTCCAGAAAAGGTCACGATGATGACTACGTACTATGCTTTAAAGGAAACAGAACAAGAAAACCCTAATGATGAAGAGTTTTCCAAGAGTGCAAAATGAGACATACAGATATAGAGCTGAAAAAAGGGCATGGGCAAAGCAAAAATTTGTTTTGCTTGATTATAGATATTTGGAACAAGATTTTTTACTCTTCTTTCATTCTTGGGGAAGGGAGAGGGAGAACAGGACAATTTAAAAAAAATGTATATATGAATATTTTTTAAAAATAAATAAAATAAGGGGAATTAATTATTGTTTTCTTACTGTTCAACCATCCTTGGATCCCATATAACTAATCCAACTTTATCACAGTGAATTATTTTTAGCTATATTACTGCAGTATCTTTGCTGGGATTTTTTTTTTTAATTTCTGAATCAATATTCCTGGGATACTAATCTATAATTCTCTTTTTCTACTTTATCTTTCCCTGCTTAGATATTAGGAATATATCTGTCCCTTTAAAAAATTTGGTAAATTGTATTCTGCCAAAACAATAAAAACCTATTTTATTTCTTTTTTTAAAAAACTGCATAGATCTCCTGTTTTTAAATCGTCCAAATGTGTGGAAATGTTTTGATTAGTATTTTTCTTATTAATGACTTGGAGCATTCTTTCATATGGTATTTAATAGTTTATAATTCCCTTTGAGAATTGTTTGTTCCAATTCTTTAACCACTTATATACTCGGCAATGTCTCTTGGCCTTATAATTTGCCTTAATTCCCTATATATGTTGGATACTGGACTCTTTTCAAAGACATTTGATATAAAATTTTTTATTCCCCAACCAACAGCTTCTCATTTTCCTAAAAGAATTAATTTTCTTTGTGCAAATTCTATTTAATTTCATGTAATCGAAAGCATATGTATGGTCTTATCGTTTATAATTACTTTTATTTCTCATCTGATTAAGACTTCTCCCCTTAGATATAACTGTGAAATGTACCTAATCTGGTTCTCTTCTAATTTTTCTATAATGGCATGACCTTTAACATTCAGGTCAAAAATCCATTTAGGGTTTATTGTCACATATGGGGAAAAAAATAAGAATTTTCTAAAATGCACAGTATATACTGCAGCTTATATACATATAAGAGTGGTACTTCCTGGGTACTGAACCCGGGGAGATCTGGGTTGAACTCCTGCCACTCATGCATTCCAGCTGCTTGACCATGGTCAAGTCATTTACTTAACCTCTCAGTGATAAGTCAATTCTTTTAAGATAAAGTTACAGACAAGAAAGTAATTTCTATCAGTAAAGGTCTTTCCCCCAAAAGGGTGAACTCACAAATCAGGAACACACACACACACACACTCACACACATAATCTTTAATCTCATAGAAATCCTGAGGCCTGATAAATTGCGAGTTACAGGAGTCTATTTGTCATGACACAAGTGAAATTAATTTAGTAGCAGTATTTGCAACTAGCTAAAAAAAGAAAAAAAAAGATTACTACCTCTGTTTCCATGGAAATGCCACTTTAAATGACAATTTTTAAGGAATCAAATTTAGTACTGTCATAATACACTGTCAGTACGACTCAACAGGAATGCTAAGCATCACACAAACAATTGCCTGCAATATCAGCTCACAAATTGCCTAGAATATAGCAATTTTTCAAGATAGCCAATTCATAAAACTACAACACAAAAATTACCTTTTTAAATCAAAGTTTGGCACTATTTATTACAATATTATGCTTTATTTAAAAACTGGTCTTTTACCTCTGAATTCACAATTAAATACGAACAAAATTTTGCTATGCACATAATTCATAAAAAAGGACAAATGTGGTGGTACCAATTAGTTCAAGAATTCCTATTAAAGTTTCCAGTTCTCTGTCTGACACCATAATTCTGTCAGTTATGTACATATGTGTCATATCCCTATGAACATTGCTAGGCTGATCCTCAGACTGACACACAATCAGTCTGCCAAGCTCAAGCTCAAAGCCTCAACAGTTTGGAAGAGATCCCAGAGGCTGGGCTCCCTTGCTACCATCATCATGAAACAAGGGTCATTCCATAGAGAAGCTCATAGAAGCCTTAATCCTATGTCAAATAAGATAGAGTGGTATATTTAATGTATTGATGGTATAATTCAGTACCTAGTACAACACAATGCCCTGCACATTAGATAGTTAAGAAATGCATTGACAAATACATACCACCAAGCTAAGTTAGTCAAAGGATAAGAACAATTTTCCACCAAAATTTACTAATTATAAATAACCACTTAAAAATATGTCCCAAATCACTAATAACAAGAATTCAAACCACTCTGAGGTTTCATCTCATGCTGCAACTTTGCAAAAATTACAAAAAACACCAAGAGTCAATGTTGGAGGAACTGTGTAAAACAGGCATACTAACAGGGAAGGAGAAAGAGGAAAGGGAATAAGCATTTATACAGTGCCTACTATGTGCCAGGAACTGTGCTAAGTGTTTTACAAATATTATCTCAATTGACTCTAGCAATAGCTCTGCAAGGTAAACGCTCTTATCCCAATTTTAAAGTTGGGGAAACTGAGACACAGAGGTTAAGTGACTTGCTTAGGGTCACAAGGCTAGTTAAGTGCCCGGGGCCAGATATGACCTTGAGTCTTGCTGCTCCTGGGCCTGGCACTCTATCAACTGGACTACCTCAATGCCTCCATGGGGAGAGGAGGGGGGGAGCTTATCTTTTTTTATCTAATACACTTAGAGAATCTGTAAATTGGTCCAACTACTGTGAATATGAATTTGGAATTATTGTTTGTATACTGGAATAAACTGTATACACTAATCTAGCAATCCAACTACAGGGCAGGGCATATACCCCAAGAACAAAGACAGATGTAAAGGTCAACTATTTACCAAATTAACAATTTGTGGTAGCAAAGACCTAGAAATCAAAATGGCTTAAAACAAACCTTATGTTGCATGAATGTAATAGAATATTATTGTACAAAAAATAAATGCACATTTTTAAAGGAGATTTCTTCACTGAAAGGATAAGTAGGCCTTGAAAGATCTCATAGTCAAAAATTCGACAAGAAGTCAACCCAAGAGGAAGATAGAAAACTTAAGAATGAAATTCTGAAAATATAAAGGGAAATAATTCCCATGCCAAGGAAAAACTGGAGCTGTCTGAGTAGACCTACGTGAATGCTTAGAACTCATGAACCAACTTAGATTTTTTAAAAAGTAAAGAAGCAGGAACTGGTAAAAGGGGATAAATAAGAGTTTATAGGGTCCTGTAAAAATACTGTCAAACTAACCACAATTCCAGAGAATTGATGATGAAGTGTATTACTTACATCCTAATAATGAGATAACAGGCTTAAAATACAGAATTAAATCTTTTTTTCAACATGGCCAATATAAGGATTTGTTTTGCTGACTATGTATAAACTGTTAGAAGTGCTTTGTTTTTCTATTTTTTTCCCCCAGTGGGGAGGTGTCAGGAAGGAGAGGAAATGGTTTAACTGAAAAAAGTTAATTTGAAAAAATTAAAATCATGTCAAAAGTATTAAAGCTCAGAATAAGCTAAAGCTGAAGAGGGAAGCAAAGGAATGACAAAATGGGAGAAAAGTTCTGACAGCGAAAAAAGAGCATCAAAGAAAGGACAGGGTAGTGTGGACTGGACAGTAAAAACTGACCACAGAGAAAAGACAAAGCTGCTCAATTTCTGTTTTACGTTTTTTTTAATCCATGGAGAATGACCATGGTACTATGAAAAAAGGAAAGTGACACCCAAGATAAGAAACAGTAAAGGAATACTTTAGTTCCCCTTAACTCACTCAAGTCAACTGGCCCCCCAAAATGACACTCTTGGATCCTCAAAGAACTGGCACATGGAGGTGGGATTGCTAAGTCATCATCAGTGACATGTGAAAGATTGTGGTGAACACAGCAAGGCCCCACAACCCTAAAAACGGGCAAATGTTGGCCCAATTTTCAAAAACAAGTCAGAGAACAGTTTGTAACCAAAGGTCAGACAGTAACCTTGACTTTAATTCCTTAGAAGATTCTAGAATAAATCATCGAAAAAGTGGTTAACAACTATCTAGAAAAAGCAGTGATTATAAAAATCCAGAATGACGAAAACAAGTCTTGCTAGGCTCATCCTATTTCTGTTTTTTGACTGGTTTGCTAAACTGTAGATTAAGGCCACTGTTGTAGATACAGTTTACCTAGGGACTAGCTAATAATACAATTACATGGACTTGGAATGGTGAAGATCAAATAAGTCATTAATGGTTCCATGTCAACTTAGCTGTAGATCTCCAAAGGAGTGCCGCTGGGTCTATGTTGGACCTTATGCTACTCAACAGCAAGTCACTTAACCCTGAATGCCACCCCTCACTAAAAAAAAATAGAATAAAAAATATGATTCTGTGAATACGAGGAATTGAAAGAAATATACAAGGATTTGTATGAACTGATGGAGAGTGAAATAAAGAGAACAAAAGGACAATAACCACCAAGGGAACAACAATGTCAATAGTAAGGTTCCTAAAAGAAAGTGAAGTTCAAAATAAATGAAAAAAAAATGTCCTCAGAGAAGAGACAATGAAACATACTTATTTCAATGCAGAAAGGCAGGAGACTATTAGGACAGAATGTTACATACCATATAGGATGGGGTTGCTCTAGCACATATTGTTTAAATGTTTTCATTATAAGGTAAGTTTCTATATAGAGGAGAGGAGACTTTTTCCCAGAAATGATTGTGTTTTAAAAACAAAGACATCAATAGAGTATACTTTTCAGAATATAAATTAATTCCACACCTATGATTTTAGGGATTTTAACTTTTAAAAAAGTAAAGTCTTAAGTTATAGAATGTATACTTCATAGTATACTAAGTCCCCAGCCATAGGAAATATATGCCCATCCACATAAGATAAAACAGAAAATAATGAACAGAGGGAAGGCAATGGAATTAAAAGGGTTTGGGGAAGAACTTTTATAGAAGGTAGGATTACAGTTAAGACTTAAAAGGAAGCCAGGGACATCAGTAATTGGAGCAGTGGAAGGAAAGTGTTCGAGGCATGGAGCACTACCAGAGAAATTGCCCAGAGCCAAGAGATGAAGTGCCTTGCTCATAGAACAGAGAGGAGACCAGTGTCACTGTACTGAAAAGTACAAATTGAGGAGTAAGGTATAAGAAGACTAGAAAGGTTGAGCGAGCAAGTTTATGAAAGGCTTTGAATGCAAAACACAGCATTTTGTATTTGCTACTGGAGCTTATCATTAGGGGTGACATAATCAGACCTATGCTTTAAGAAAATCACTTCAGTGGCTGAATGGAGGATAGACTGAAGTGGGGAAAGATTTGAGGCAGGCAGATCTACCAGCAGGCTACTGCAGTAATCCAGGCATTAGGTGACGAGGGCCTGCACTCAAGTGGCAGCAGCATTAGCCTGAACCAAACAATAAAGCACAACAAAACTCTACCTCATAGCTATGAGGCCCAAATGACTTAATGTCCACAAATAAAGCCCTTTTTATACCTTAAAAAGCACTATGTAAATGTCAATCACTAATAGGCTGCATTTTAATCTTACCTACCACCAACGAACTTATTTCTAAGATTTACTACTAAAAGTTTTAAAACACAGTTTAAAGGAAAAGACTATTCGCAGCTTCTATAGCAAATATTTGATGAATACTGTACATCTCGTGCAACTTCTAAAGGAAAATAAATTCTACATCAAAATAAATATTATCACAAATATCACATTTTATCATAAATTTATGGATAATGCCTATCTTAATATCTGAAGGTCATTAAGTTTAGCTAACTCCTTGGGCCTAAAGAAATGAGCACCTCAGAAAGGATAAGAATATATTCCATTAGGTCTTATCAACCCACAGCTGAGTTTGGGGAGTCAAACTTTTGTTTCACGTAATATTGACAGTTTATAAATGACTCACCTAATGAATGAGAACATGGACCACAACTGCCAGGTTAAGCATTATAATCAATTATAAGTATTATGAAAATTACAGCTAACAAATGTTACCTTATTTGACCAAGTATGACTATGGAGAGATGAGATTTTAACCTTACATACTGTCAATTAATTTCTAAGCTTTGCTACACAGGTTTTTAAAAGACAGCTTAAAGGAAATGATTCAGAACTTCTATAGCAAATATCTTTATGTTAACATTTTATTTAGTACTGTATGCTCCAATCTGAAACATACAAGCACCATAAATCCTATAAAAACAGGGAGCAATTTAAAAAGAACTCATTTTGGGGGCAGCTAGGTGGCACAGTGGATAGAGCACCGGCCCTGAAGTCAGGAGGACCTGACTTCAAATCCAGCCTCAGACCAAACGCTTGACACTTACTAGCTATGTGACCCTGGGCAAGTCACTTAACCCCAATCGCCTAAAAAATAAAAACAAAACAACATTTTTTCAACAAAGAATATGTTAGAAGGGAAACACAGAGTCAGATATTTTTAGAAACACAAGTTCTTTCTTTTAAGAAGTCAAACTTTTAAGTAAATATTATTCCCACTACTACTTGCTCCAATACCAGAAGGCACCACAGCTTTCAAACAGAAATACAACAGAGATTTCTAATTTTATGCACTATTTTATCAATATTTCTTTAGCCACAAGTTTATAATTATCTGCTATTACTACTCAACTACAAAATTACTTTGATTCTTCCTCTACTAAAGACTACTAAATTTTAAGAAAGCAAGAGTATCATTTATAGTAGAGTTGGTCTCCATGTGACCACTACAAATATGTACGTTTATGTACCTTTCCTCTATCCGGTTCTTATCCAGTAGTGGCTGCTTAATCCATTGATTAAGCAGTCTCTGGCCTTGAGGGGTTTTGCACTTATTCAGCAACGCAGCAAGAGACTGAGTACCACTTTTGTCTTCAGCAGAGCCCTAGTAACAGAAGGTAAGAGACGAAATGATGGGCTTATTAGCATGTCTTACCAAGCCAAAAATAGTAATTAAAATTTTTATTTAAAAGATGAATTTTTATAATATAACTCACAATATACAATCAAGCTTCTGCCCAATGGTACTTCTATAATGACATATAACACTATTCCTGTAACCTCAAGCCAAAAACTTAAGAACCAAATTTAAGGATTGCATACTGTGTAAATTTATTTATAAAACTATTCTATACTATTTAAGAGTAGAAAAGTAAAATACAACAATTGAAATTTATTGCATTTATCTAACAATATTAATTGTACAATTACATGTTAAACATATGATACTTCTAAATATTTAAGAATACCAGAACCCTTTAACATAACATGAAACTGTCACTGAAGTCCTATTCCAACATCTTATAGCATTGTGGAAATAACTCTAGGTTTTATTTTTTTACTATGTTTTGATTGTTTCTGACAAAGAATTCCCTCCCATCCACCCACTGACTGTGTTCTTGAAGGTTATTTATTCTTCTAGACCAGGATCTATGACAGGACCTGTAATGATGTTAAAGGCTTCAAGTGGGTACCCAGGGATGGATCAGCCTACCTAAGATCTGAGAGGCTCTATCACAAATAGGCCCCTTAGATGTGGCTTTTTTACCACAATATCTCCTACAGGCCATAAATCATAAAAGAGGTTTTCACAATCTGTGCCCACATTGATTAAAATTACCAACTCTCAAAGTCCCTTTCCATCCCAACCTTCCATATTTGGTATTTTTTTTTTTTTTACCTGAAAAAGGTTAAGAGCTCTGACAGCTGCATTATCCAGCTTCATATACTGGTTGAGGTCAAAGGTAGTCAGTTCAAATTGTCCAAAGTTTGTATCATCTGATAAAAGTTCTAAATACTTAATCACAGCTGATAATGACGAAATTGCGACCTAAGATTAAAAAATTTCAAATATAGGATTGTAGTAACACAAGGAGAAAAGTAAAAGTCATTAAAAAAATTTTAAAAGTACATGACTGAACAAAGACAAATTACAAGCAGCATTATTTTCCCTGGTTTAGGAAAAACAGGCACACTAAGGGCCTAATGGAACTATGTGTCCAATAGTTCTGAAAAGCAGTTTGGAAGGATGCAAATAAAATGACTAAAATGCCAATATCCTTTGACCCAGAGATTTCACTACTAGACATACACTCCAAAGAAGTTAAAGACAAAATTAAAGTCCAATATGCATGCAAAATATTAGGAGCATTACGTTTTGCAGTAGCAAAGAAGTAGAAACAAAGTAGATGTCTTTGAAATGAGGAATGGCTAAACAAATTATCTACATACTCTTTTTGTGGTGGCAAAGAATTGGAAAATTGAGGGGATGCCCATCAACTGGGGAATGGCTGAACAAGCTGTGGTATATGAATGTAATAGAATACTATTGTACTATAAGAAATGATGAGCAGGTAGATTTCAGAAAAACCTAGAAAGACTTGTATGACTGATGCTGAGTGAAGTGAGCAGAACCAGGAGAACATTGTACACAGTAACAGCCATATTGTGTGATGACTAACTTTTTTAGCTCTTCTCAGCAACACAAGGATCTAAGACAACTCCAAAAGACTCCCGTAATAGAAAATGCTATCCACATCCAGATAAAGAACTATGGAGTCTGAATGCAGATTGAAGCATACTATTTGCTCTTTTTGTTTTGTTTTGTTTCTTTTTTCTCATGGTTCCTCCCAATGGTTCTAATTCTTCTTTACAACACGACTAACGTGAAAATATGTTTAATGAGAATGTATATGTAGAGCCTATATCAGACTGCATGCCATCTTGGGGAGGGGGAAAGGGAGGGAGGTGGAAAAAATTTAAAACTCAAAAGCTTATGAAAGTGAATATTGAAAACTAAAACTAAATTAATTTAAAAATTTTTTTAAAAAGTTGTTTTCTGTTCTCATAAAACCAAAACAAAAGGTAAACCAATAAAATTACTTCACAGCAGGAGATCTCACTTGAAAAAAGAATTACATATGGAATGTTGTACACACTGTAAGATATGGTCACTGTGTTACTATGTTGGTTGACTTTGCTTAACTAATTCTTTCTTACAGTAAAGACTCACTGTAGGTGAGAAGCAGAGGAAGCAAAGATGGGATCCATCTGCAAATGAACATGTTATGACAAAAGGGATCAATAAAATATTTTTAAAATGGACCAGACTCTAAACGTGCTATAAATAGAAGAAATGTTATTTTCACTTTAAGAATAAGCTCATCTATATGTATGTGGCTTCAAAATTTTTAGTGGCTATAACACTGTGTAAGCCTCATTTAAATGAAAGTACAACTGGTATTTATACACTAATTTTGTGGTGATACACAAATATCTACTTTTCTCTCTATTCAAACACAGATCCCTAAGCCTCCCTAATTCAGTTCTTTTCTCTTATTTTATTGGTCAAAAGCAGGTATAAACCAACACTAAAGATAAACACACAGTCTAAAACTTTAAAAACTCAATACTGTTACTAAACTTACACAACCTACAAAGAATTCTTTCAAGCAAAAAGAAAAAGGATTTAGGAACAATATAGTGGAACTATAATGAAATTCACTAGTAAAAAGCCAAATTATTTATGTAGGTCCTTCCTTTAGGGAAGTACCTTGAACTTTTCATTTCAACCTTGAGATGAACTGAAGGTCAAAGGAATGACAGCACATGTTATTTGCAACTGATGCAAGATTAATGTGTTAGAAACTTCCACTAGGAAAATGACATTTTTATGACTTAACAATAAATAAATAAATAAACACATTTAATTTACATACCTGATTCTCCATCTCAGGCAATACAGCACTATTCACTTGGTCTCCCTTTCTGCTTTTCAACAAACGGTTGAGGTCCTGAACAATATCTTTTGCTGCAAAGTCAGTTTTCTTCCTCTCTGTGATCAGAATCCCTCCTCTCTCAATAACCTGTTTTTAAAAATACAAATTTGTTCTCTCCCAATAATTTTACTGAAAAACAGAATTTGTAAACCTTTTAAAAACCAACTGATTATTCAATTTAAGCTTTATGAAGTTTCAGTTAAATTATCTCAGTTATAATTGCTTTAATATAGTTAATGTGCTTGTTTTCCTTTCCTCAGTGCTGTGCTAAGTGGCAATAACTATATCAAAACACAACCCAAAATGATTTCTCTCTCTCTTTTTGTAAAAAGAAATCAGCACTAAATCGATCTTCTTTTTTTTAGAACATTTGAAAAATGTTTTTTGTAAAATATCATCAAAGCAATTAAATGGCCCTTTCTAGTTCTGGGTTTTCTTTACATGGTGTTCTTTTCTAAGATTTTAAGATTTTTTTTTTTGTTGTACTTCATTAGTATTAAGTCATTTAGGAATTCTGATCAACACAATCAACACAACACAACCAACCACAATTTCAAAGGATTCATGATGAAAAACGCTACCCACCTTCTATAGAAAGGTAATGTATTCAGAGTGCAAATCAAAGCATATTTCCTTTCCTTCTATTTGGACATTTTTAATGTGGAAATGTATTCTGTATGGCTATATATATTTGTAATGACCTTTGGGTTTAGGGGGTAGGGCTGGCCTTCTCAATGGGTGGGAAACGGAAAAGAGAGAGAATTTGGAACTGAATATAAAATAAAACTGAATTTTAAAAAATTAGTATGAAATCTTTTCCCCTTTCTTACCTGTCTCAGTTTTCCCATGTCCCCAGCAGTTTCACCTCCTGGTAACACACATTCCTTTGGGCCAATCTGAATCAGCAGAGCTTCCAGATTGGAGAACTGGTCATTATCTGGAAACTCACACAGTCCTAGCTTCCTCTGTATGGAGTCAACATACCCAACTCCAACTAATCTTTGGCCATCAACAATGGACAACTTAACACCTACACCACCAATGGAACATGACATATCACTGCTGCCAAAGAGAACTTCTTCAAATTGGGAAAGATTGCCTGGTGAAGCCTAAAAAACAAACAAAAAAGAAAGGAAAATCACTGGAAACCACTTAAAAACTTCCTTTTAGATGCTATTAGCATAAACAAGAAAAAAAAACTTCTAATTTTAGTTACATGTAGTGAAAATTTTTTGAAGGAGCAAAGCAACCACACAATAAAAGCAGACTGAGAGAAAATATCTTTTCCTCAAATAATTCAGAGAATGGTGCATATCTAAGATAATGTAAAATATTTAAGAAGAAAAGTCACTTCAAAATGGATACAGTGTCCAAGGATAAAAATTCTCACAAGAACTGTAAACTATAAACAACTACATGAAAGACTGCTCCACTTCACTAAGAAGAGAAATGTAACACACACACAACACACACACACACACACACACACACACACACACACACACACACAAAACATCTCTAAAGTTCCACCTAGAATTCAGAAAACTGGCAAAGATGACAAAGCTATGGATTTGTCCAACTCATTCTGGAAAACAATTTAGAATTAAGTAAAGTGACCAAGACCATGCCCTTTCACACAGGTTGAAGAAAAGATACCCCCATCACATACAATCAAGGACATCAAAGATGTAAAGAAAGATTCTAGATACATCAAAACAGCACTTTTCATAGTAACAAAGAACTGAAAAGAAAGGAAATGTAAATAGATTGAAGAATGACTAAACAAGTTGTAAGACCTACATGGAATGGAATATTACTGTACAAACACATGCATGAACTGATTCGAAGTAGGAAAAAAAAAAGGACAAGGAAAACAATATATCCAATGACAACATAAATGAAAAGAACAAAATAACCACAACCGTACGGTAAGAAATTATCCTGGCCAAGATTAATCCCAAAGAAAAGACACAAGAATGCACAAGTAGGGAAATACGGATGTAGAGCCTTACATATGACATCAGACTTGGTTGATGGAACTAGTTAATTTTTTACTAAACTGTTTTGTTCTTGTTATAATTTGCTATAAAGGATCATTCTCTGGGAGAGGAAGGAAGGAAGGGCATATTAGGAAATTTGAGTGATATAAAAACAAAAGATATGAATAAACATTTTTCAAATCACATGAACAAAAGCCACAAATTTTACCTAGGGCCAACTCTGACAACTTTACCAATGAAAATGTCTGATGTACTCAAAGTATTAATCATATATTATTCTGAGACAGGTGTAGGTTTGCTTTAATGATACTGGATGGCAGCAAAGTTTTTCTGGAGAGTATTCTACCCTCTTCATGATGGGTTTCCTTGCTTTCCTGTTGAACTGTTTCAAGTCCTAGTTGCAAGCCATATCAGAGAAAATATTCACAAATGGTAGTTGAATAAATTCATTAAGTACTTGCTGTTTGCAAAGCAACCATATAGCTGTCTTCGAATAAATTTAAACAAAGATTGAGGAAAACAATACTGAAAACGGTCATTTGAGACACCTAAGAAACATCAAAGTTTAAATTATTAAAATATCAGAGGAAGAAAATCAGAATTTTAGAACTAGAAGGGCTTTAGAAACCAAGTCCAATACTCTTACTTTAGAGAAGGAAATTGCATCAGAGGCATGTTAAGTGACTTGCCCAATGTCACAAAGGTGGTTAATGATAAAGACTAGAACCATAATGAGAAGTCTAGAACCCAAAAGTCCCCCTTCTCTAATTGTTTCATGTGGATAAGTGTTCTCTTCCAGACAAGATCCTTTAAAATGCAGTAATGATTCCAACTTCTCCCAATAAAACTTGGAGATTAACAGTGAACGAGATCTTTGCAGCGATTTATAACTTGTAATTTAACAGAAGAAAGTCGGCAAGTAGGGATGTGTCTGTGTGTATGCATACCTACACACACACACACACACACACACACACACACACACACACACACACACACACACACAGAGTTTCCTTTCTGCACTGATGGAGGGAGTTTCCTCACCTGGGTGTTTCCAGAATGATGAAATCATACCACTGAGGTATTCTGCCTCCCAAAAAAATAACTGCATTTCTTGTTTTATTTACATCAACAAAAGAATCTCTTTATAATGTTACTGTTAGGTGACTGAATAAAAAATTGTAACAGAGAGAAAAGAGCACTAAACTTACAGTAAGAAAATCTGGGTTCAAATCCAAGGTCTAATCGGGAATGTGACATGACAGAAAGCCAGTCAATCAGAAAAACCTGGGTTCAAGTTCCCCTTATGACACTGCTTCTGTAACCATGGGCAAGGCACTTAACTTTTCAATGTGCCATACAACCCTCTAAGACTATAGTTTGCAGAACAGCAGCATATCCAAGAAATCACAGGTTTAGACCACTCTCCCTGCCTCTCATTTAAAAAATTATCATCACTGTGATGATATGCAAAAAGTCATTTAACGTCTCCAAGTCTCAGTTTCCCCAAGAGTAAAATGGAGATAAAACATGTTATTTCACAAATTGTTTTAGAGAATGTGTTTTATAAACAGGACTGTCTATTAATGAGAATTGTAACGCAGGTATGTTCTATAAAGCTTTCATTATATAGTTATGTTTCAGGGCATCTTATACACTACATAAAATATCCAAATTCATGTTATAACTCTGGGTATTTGGTATTAAAATATGCTTAAAAAACAACTTTGTAGCTAAGAGTTTAATGTTAGTCTACTTACTATGCAACCAGAGAAACCCACGTGACCCAGTAGGTCACAAACACTTTCTTTTTTAACTGTGCTAGGCAGCTGTGTGGCAGACAGTCAGTGGGAATCAAGGCCACACCGGCTTCATCATCCAGGTCCCTCTCTAATTTACCTCCTCTTCTCAATAAGTGACCACAGTAACTGTTAAGCTCTTACAAAATGACCCTATGAGGACAAAGAATTCCAATATTCCAAGAAAAATGGTATTTTAAGACCTAAGTGAAAAATAAACAAATAGGTCACATCACAAAATCCGTTATGATTGTTGTTCCGCTGACCCAGTCATATCCAGCTCTCTGTGACTCCATGGACCATACTGTCCACAGAATTTTATTGGCAAAGATATGGGAGTGGTCTGACACATCCTTCTCCAACATAGTAAAATTAGTTACATTAAATCTAACATTTCCAATCTATGAGTAAAAGTACAGATTGTCATAAATGCCAATTTAGACACAAGACAACTTTACGAATTCCTGACTTAGGAATGACCCTTATTTAGGAACAGCCAACACATTTGGGATTCATCTTCCCACTGGCATAGATGCAGGAACTCTTCTATTCCCCAAGGGTCTGTCTTTTCCCAGGCAGTACTTTTGCAAGAAAATTCTTTCCCTTATCCCTCTCCTTTCCACCACGGCCAGGGACTTCTACTGCTGTGGCCTGGCACTATCCACAGAAAACTGGCCCACTGTTGCCACGGAAGGTATGGACTGCTAATAATGGTAGAGCACTATAATTGTGAGATTTTTCTTTCTACTTTTCTTTGCAAGAAAAAAAAATTTACCTTGAATGCCACATGCCAGTCATTCTCCTTGGTGGCCTTATTCCCAGCTTTATTCTTATAAACTTCAACTCTATACTGACGAACCAAGAGGAGGTCTTTCGCAAAAGATTCAAAATTCATTTTACTAAGCACAACACTTTCCAGTTTCTTAGTACCTAAAGGAGAGAAATAGCATACTTTAAGTTAATATGCGATCATATACTGACAAAAAACCAAAAAGTTCAAGTCCTCACCAATCAAAATAATAAAGAATCAAAACTTCAGGTTACATTACTTCGAAAACAAATATAATCAGACACAAAGCATTCAGCATAATTTGTAAAAACTCTTAGCAATGCCTATCATCTGTAAATTGCTAACCCTACTCTTCTGTCACATGTAATACTCTCCCTACTTGACAGTCCAGGGATCCATCATTTCAGCTCCTCTGGCACATATAATACCTCTGTGCTTCCAAGCTAAACTGGCCATAAAAAATTGATCATTGCATCACAAATTTTCTGGGAATGACTTCTTGTTGATCTTCGATAGTGGACTGTCTGCAAGGCCCACAATGGAACCAGGAATTATACCATAATAGGAGGATTCACCAGGGCTTGCAATCTGTGGGCATAGCTTTGGAGAATCCAAAGTTACCTCTGCCACAATCAATCAGTCCAGAAGCATCTATTAAGTACTTACTATCTGCCAGACATTGTGCTAAATATGCCCAGCTATACAAAGAAAGGCAGTTCCTTTTTTCAAGAAGCTCACAATCTAATGGGGAGACAGCATGCCAACTCAATAGACAAACAAGCTATGGACAGGATAAACTGGAGATAACAGACAGAGGGAAGGCAGTAGAATTAATAGGAATTGGGAAAGGCTTCTTGTAGAAGGTAGAATTCCAGATGGGACCCAAAGGAAGCCAGGGAGTAGAAATGATGAGGGAGAATGTTTTGGGCACAGGGACAAATTGCAAAAATTCCTGGGGTCAAGAGTAGATCTTAAAATCAACCCTCCTCCCCTCATAAGTAGGCCTCGTAAATGAAATAGCCTACTAGTTCAAGGACAGTAATAACTTCAAAAATCATTCTTCTTGCCTTTTCAGAAAACACTGGTAAACTCTATTACTCCCTGAAACACTTGAAATAATAAACTTACTATAAGAGAAATAGCTATAAGAAAATTTGTGGTATACATATGTACTTCAGCCAGGAGTTAGGGAAAAAAAACATGTGAAAGTGCTGCCCATATCCTTAAATCTGATAGAACATAGAGAATGTCTTATCAGCTAGGACTGACTGAAGTGAATACTTCCTAGGCTACAACCCCTTACAACACACATATATGATGAAGCTTGACGTAGGAAAGCATAATAATGGAGACTTTCAGGAGAGATCAGAAATTTTCAGAGATAGAAAGGTCATTAGCAATCTAATTCAACACTCTTATTTTATAAATGAAGAAACTGGGGCCCAGAAAGGTTACATGGATTACCACTATCACATGGCTAACTAGTGACCTTGTAATTTAACTGAGGACTGACTAAACAAAATGTAGTTCATTAACATAATTTAACATTATTGTACCACAATAATTAAAATGAAGAATTCAAAAAATCAGGGGAAAACATCATTGACACAAACTGATAAGTACCAGAAAAACAATATGTAAAACAATAAAGTGAAAACCAACTATAATGACTAATAATGGCTCCAGAGAAGACTTGAAAAAATACAACTCCCCCCCCCCCCCCCTTTGCAGAGGTAGAGAACTGTGGGTATGAAACACCGCATGTACAGCCAAACATGGTTAATGAGTTAGTTGTTTTTCCTGAACTACTTCTCCCACCACCACTTTTTTTTTAAGGTATAGCTTGAGGGGAAAGCAAAGAAGGAATATGCTCAGAAATAAAATTGTTGTACCAACAATTTGTTGTAAGCATCAATAAAACTTTTTAAAAATTAAAAAATTCATTTGGGACAAGATATTCATGAAATTAATGCAAGATGGCACAGTGAAAACTGCACACAGCTGTCTTTTTTGGAGGGTTAGGGAGTGAGAAGGAGGTATTTTATCTTCAAGGTACTAGTAAGGGTTCAAAGGAGCTGCTAGGTGACATAGTGGATATTGTGCTAGGCCTAGAGTCTGGATGACTCATCCTCTTGAGTTCAAATTTGGCTTCAGACACTTACCAGATAGATAAGTGACCCTGGGCAAATCACTTTACCCTGTCTGCTTCAGTTTCCTCATCTTTAAAATGAGCTGCAGAAGGAAATGGCAAACCACTCCAGTATCCTTGCCAAGAAAACCCCAAATGGGGTCATGAAGACTCAAGATATGACTGAAATAACTGAACAATAACAAAAGCAAATAGCCATACTTCATGACTGAAAAATAGTGAGAGTTTTACCCAGGATTTTAAATAAATTAAAAAGCAGGACAAAACCCAACAACACTAAATAAGATAACACTCTTTATAGACCAGCATTCATTTGAATTAAATTGAAATAGTATTTATTAAGCACCTACTACATGCAATGGTGGCTATTTGGCACAGTAGAAAGAGCTGGGCATGGAGTCAGGAAGACTCATTTTCCTGAGTTTAAATTTGGCCTCTGGGGTTACAAAGAGTAGGACACAACTGAAAACCATTAAACAGCAACACTATCTGCAAGGCACTGGCACTGTGCTAGGTACCAGGTTAACAAAGACAAAAGATAAAAAAATTTCCTGACCTCAAAAAGCTACCATTCTCCTAGGTCACTCACTAGTTAGCCAAGTAATCTGGGTAAAAGTATAGTACAGGGTATTCCAAAAGTCTTAGAGCAGTTTTAAGCTTCAGAAGCTTACAATACAGTTTACCTTAATTTCAATAGAGACAGAGTCCTTCCCTGACTCAATTCACATGACCACCACTCTAGCTCAGGATGCCAAGTTCTCACTCCTGGGTGGCTGCCAGGGACTCTTAATTGGCCTCTCTACCTCAAGTATTTCTCCATTCAAATTCATTCTCCACACAGCTGACAAAGTCATCTTCCTTAAGTCTGTCTGACAATATCAATCCCCTGCTCAAACTCCAGCGGATCCCCTATAAGCTCTCAGATAAAACTTAAATATTCTAGCTCGGCATTTAAAGCCCTTCACAATCTGGCCCCGATCAAGTTTTCCAATCTTCTTTCTCACTACACCCTTTCTTGAGTTTTTCCATGTAGAGTAGATTTTATTTTCATACTGTAATAAACTTTAAATTTAAATAAAAAGGGGGAGGGAGCCCAGGACTCCTTCTCATTTGATTTCTGGTCATCAATTAATCATATTTATAGTGCCTATATTACCCCACTTAAATACTTCATAGGCAAGCTGCTGCTTCTTTTCAGCTAAGACTGAACTAATTTAAGCACTTCCCCATTAACATGTTGAAAGAACTACACTTCAGTCTCCTCTCAATTTGACACATTTGAAGTCATAATCATCTTTAAACTACAAATTCTCAATAGGCTTAATTTACTCAAACACCCCAGTCACTCCATTCTTACGTATTTCTGGTCACCAAAAAACTGTGTAACATTGACATAATAGTTTGGAATAGTGGTTAAAGAGCAGGCCTCAAAATCAAGAAAGTCAAGCTTTAACTTAGAAAAGTGGTTTAACCTCTCAGTGCCCCCAAGCAACTCTATAAAGGTTAAGTTTCAAGCTCCTGCCCTCCAGCAGCAATAAAGTAAATTTCCCTACCAGGAATTCCAACAATGAAATCCCAGGTTCAGACCAAAATAACAATAATAAAGTACAGCAACGATACCAATTCAACAAACATTTATTCAGGGTGTGGATTCAGGTGATACAAAGATTAAACAAAGAGCGTTTGACTGACTGAAAGAATTAAAGGAAAAATCCTGACAAAGTCCTCAAAGAAAACTTAAGAAGGAAAAGAATAGCTATGGGGATTCTGAGAATATGATTCAGCGCTAAACTGTAGGGTTAGGTTTAAGGGCAGGCAGTTAGAGGTTGGAGAAAAGCCAGCTACTGTTGTAGATTTAGGTAAGCTTAATGAGCTTACCCTAGTCTACAAACTCCCAAAACATATAGCAAAATAAGAGGTATTTAGACAGCAGCAAGGTTATTCTTATGTAAAAATATTATTCATTCCTAAAGCTGTACTTAACAACACATACCAATCTCCCCCAATCCTAAAATTTAGATTGTAATGCTCAGATTACAGAGTACAGCACCAGTAATCAAGAAAACCTAAGGTCAAATTTAGCCTCAGACATTTGCTAGCTTTGTGACTCTGGTCCAGTCACTTAACCTCTGACAGTCTCAGTTTCCTCCTCTGTAAAATGAGAATAATAATAATAGCACTTACCTCCCTAGGGTGCTGTGTAATTAAAATGTTTGTTGAATTGCTATCACTACTGTACTTTATTATTATTATTTTGGTCCGAACCTGGGATTTCATTGTTGTAGGAATTCCAGGTAGGGCAATTTACTGATGCATGAGGGCAGTAGCTTGAAACTTAATGTTTAATATTTGTAAAGAACTTTGCAATCCTTAAAGAATTACTTATATGTTCGGTGTAATAATTTTTATAGCAAGATGACTTATACGTAGGAACTGGATGAATTGCCAAAAACTTTTTTAAAAATAAAGATTCTTTAAATTTTCAGCTGACCACTTTAAAGAATAAGGGGCAAAACTTAAATGACAGAAATCATCAGTGTGATCAGAAAAGGGACATGAATTTGGGATGAAGACTTTGGGGAGATAACTAGTAAGTACTTGGGGAAAAAAAAGTAACCTTTGGACAACTGCGGGAGTTTCAGTACTGAAAAAGACCTTAAGGATTTCATCTAACCCACTCATTTTACTGAAAAGAAAACTGAGGTGCAGTGAGGTTAAATAATTTATGCCGTCAATGTGATAATAAGAAGCAAAGCAGTAAGAACCTCATTGAAGTCCACAGCTCCTTCCTTCCACCCCATTTTCCAAACCCAAAATCAGGGCACAAAGTCTGATAAACGACGTTTCTTTGGAAAGTTTTCCTATCTGTAAAATGAGAGGATTGGATGAAATGATCATCACGGCCTCTTCTGAGTTCTAAAATTCTATGACTTTAAAAAAAGCCGTAGACGATGCCATCTTCACCCCACCCTCCTCTCATCGCTCCCCGTTCTGAGCTCGGGCACTGATTTGCGTTTTAAGTCGGAGGGGGCGGGGTGACAAAGAGAGCCAGCACAGAGGAATAGACTGTAAGCTCCCTGAGGTCACCGAGTCGCTTTCGCTTGTCTTTGTATAGCCAGCGCTTAGCTCGGTGCCCGTCACACAGCAGGTGCTTATTAAGTGTTTAATAAATTGGGAAAAAAAACTGAATTGAATAGAGGGAGAGGATTCTGGGTTCGAGACCTAGCTCCACCTCGTCTGCGGGAGTTCTTTCTCTGCACTTTTTGGGAAAATAGGATGGGGAGGAGGGGGCGGAATACCCCGCGATCACACACACCTCACCCCACCCCCAGTGGGAGTGGGAGAAGTGTGAGCAAGGATGCAAAACTCTCCGCGGTGAGTCTTAAAAGGGGCGTGTTCCCACCTCTAGAAAGGGGGAGGGGAGACACGCTTGGTGGCGAGCGGAGAAGGAAGCAGAGGCCCGGCGGGCGTTTTCTCCAACAGTCCCAGGACCCCCGCCCCCCCCCAGGCCTGGGAAGGAGGCCCCGGCCCCCTGCCAGGCGGCCCTTACCGGTCACCCCGATATATTTGATGACCGCCTGGGTCTTGAACACCTCCCGGGCGGCCAACAGCGCGTCATCGCCGTGCGCGGTGTAGTAATCGCCCCGGTCGAAGATGCGCACGGTGGTGAGCGGCTTCGGCGGCATGGCCTGGAAGAAGCGGATGAAGCTGCACTCGGCCTGGCTATCCATGGCCAGCACCTCCTTCGGTTGCAGCGCCATGTTGGAATCTCCCGCCAGCGGCCTCCGGAGACCCCGCCTGACCCCGCGCCGTCCCGCCTCTTTCCCGCGTTCGTTGATGCTTCAGCGGAGAGGTCCAATCATCATCCAGCTCTGCCCGACGAGGGGCGGGGAAGACGCGGCTAGAGGCGACCAATCACAATCCGGACGGAAGCTGCGCCTGGGTGACGCACCGCCCCCAAGGTCCCGCCTCCTAGATAGTGTCGCAAAGCTGGAGACCGAGTCCCTGGAGAGCTTCTGCGCCCATCCCCCCTTTCCCTCCCTTTCCTCGGTACCGGAAGTGGGAAGGGTTGCAGAGGTTATAGGTTTCCTACCGAAAACTGGAGCTGCCTGGTGGTTATGCACCTGGACGGCCTTCCAGCTAGTCACGTCATTTGGCAGCCAAGAAAATTGAACCATGTTATCGACACCACATGGGGCCTTCGAAATCAGCCCTGAGTTCAAATCCTGCCCCAGACACTCAAGTTTCCCCAGTTTGTGCAATAGGGACAATAACGGCAGTTCGATAATCTCCAATTTATGCTGTACATATCCTGTTTGTACGGTTGTTTGCAGTTTGTCTCTGTTACTGTGAGCCCTTTGAGGATAAAGACTGATTTTTGCCTTTTTTGGTATCCCCACAGTGCACTGTTTAGTCGTTTATCAGTCATTTCCAACTCTCCATGACCCCATTTGGGGTTTTCTTGGCAAAGACGCTGGAGTGGTGTGCCATTTTCCTTCTCCAGCTCATTTCACAAATGAGGAAACTGAGGCAAACAGGGTTAAGTGACTTGCGCAGGGTCACACAGCTAGTAAGTATCCGAAGTCAAATTTGAACTCAGGAAAATGACTCACTTCGACACCTCCCTTAGAGATTACAAATTAAAACATCTCAGTGCCATCCCATCCGGTGACCTTTTCAAAATTCTCTACTTCAACATGCTGAAAGGCTAACATCACCTTTCCTACCCAGGGTATGTCACTTCCTTATATTTATTGTGTCCAAAACAATTCATCCACCTACCTAGGCAACTAGATGTTAGAGTGGATAGAGTCCTGGACCTGGAGTCAGAAAGACCGGAATTCATATCCTGCCTGAGATACTTACTAGCTGTATGACCATGAACAAGTCACTTAACCTCAGTTTCCTCATCTGTAAAATGGAGGTAATAATAACACCTACCTCCCAGTGTTGTGAGGATCAAAGTGAGATACTATTTAATTTAGCACAGCCTGTGACACATAGTAGGCACTTAATAAATGCTGCCCCCTTTCAGAACATGCCACGTTTTCTTTTTAAGTGTGTACAGGGAAAGCGAAATTGCTAGCTCCTTCATATAGCTTCCTGAAGATGTTTGTGCTTTCTCCCTCCTCAGATTCTCCTGGAGCGCCCTACTTTGCCCCATTCACCTCCTCCCCTGTGTTATGCTCATCTATGTGCATGTAGTATTCCTTCAGTGGAATGTAAGGTCCTCAAGGGCAGGGAGGAACCTTACAGTTGGCACAGTACTTTGCACATAGTAGGTGCTTCATGTTTGTTGCCCCTCACCATTTGTTGGTTTTCATCATCTTCATTCTTCAGAAAAACCGGATCACTTCTATTGGCCGTGGCAGCTTGGGGCACCTCAATAATACTTTGAAAGAGGTGGTAATAAAAAGAAAAAGGATATGTTTTTGTTTGTTTTTTTAAATATTATCTAATCTCCTTTTGCCTCAATGCACTGGACGAGCGAGGCAATGGCAAACCACTCCAGGATCTTTGCCAAGAAAACCCCATGGATGGTATTGGTGTGCTATGGTCCACAGGGTCACAACGAGTCAGACATAACTGAACAACAGATAGATGAGACAATAATAACTTGGGTTTCTTATATTCCACTCAGAAATTAAAGGTGATTATTGACTGTTAGAGGGAAGAAACAGTAATGTGAGATTGGGAGTTGGCCTCTGATACCTAAAGAAGTTAGCAGAGGAGACAGTTTTTTAAGCATATGGCCTGCTGTCTGGTTGCTCCATTCTTTGGAGAAAGATCCTTGCGTTCATCACAAAATCACCGAGTCTAGGTTGGAGTAAGCTCAGATGCTATCTAGTGCTAACCTGTACCCAAGCAAGAACTGCCCCTGTAACTTACCGGATGGATGAGTGATCATCTGACTTTTTGCTTAAAGACCTTCACTGAGGGGGGAACCCACTGTACCCTGTAGCAAGCCATTCTGCTTTGTGACGGTGTTAATGTTATCAAAGTTTTCATAATATCAAGACTAAAATTTTCCTTTTTTCCAAAGTAAGTGAACAAATATTTAATAAGTGTCTACTATATGCCAGGCACTTTGCTAAGTTCTGGGTATATACAAAGAAGGGGCAGCTAGGTAGTAAAGTAGATAAAGGGCTGGGAATCAAGAAGACTCATCTTCCTGAGTTCAAATCTAGCCCCAGACTCTTACTGGCTGTGTGATCCTGGGCAAGTCTCTTAACCCTGTTTGCCTCAGTTGCTCATCAAAAAAATGAGCTAGAGAAGGAAATGGCAAACCACTCCAATATCTCTGCCAAGAAAACCCCAAAATGGGGTCAGGAAGAGTCAGACAAGACTGAAACAACTGAACAATGATATACAAAGAAAAGGAAAAAAAAATACCTGCCCTCAAGGAGATCACAGTGTAATGGGAGAGACGATAAACTATTCCAACAGCTATGTAGAAGCAATATATTTACAGCGTAAATGGTACATCAGAAGGAAAGCGCTAGCAGTAAGGAGGACTTCCACCCATCATCCCTAATTCAATTCAATTCCACTAACATTTAGTTAACAACAATGTTTATTGTTAAGCTCTTGCTATGTGCACAGCACAGTGTTAAGTGATGGGAATACAGACAAAATAGAAATTGTCCTAGCCTTTGAGTAGTTTCAGTTCTACTGGGAGAGTGTAATAAATGACAAAAGGAAAACATAACCACGCCAAGATTAAATTCTACTGGGGAAGTACATGGACGTTAATAAGTAAATAAATGCAAAGTAATTTCAGGAAGGAGAAAGCACTAACAACTGGGTGTATCAGGAAAAAAACAAAAAAAAACAAAAAACCAACAACCTTATATAGGAGGTAGCTAGCACCTGAACTGGCAAGTAGAGATTCTGAGAAGCAGAGGTAAGTTGGCAATACATTCCAGGCATGCGGGAGCATCAGTTCAAAGACACAGAAGTGAGAGATGTAATATCTTGTTCAAAGAACAGCTAGTTGGAATTGCCAGGAATGTGGAGTTTGTGAAGGTGAATATTATGAAATAAGACTAGAAATGTAGATGGGGGCCCAGTTAGGGGCAGGGGGTGGGGACTTAGTTGCTAAAGTGAGGATTTTGTAGGTAACAAGGAAGCCACTGAAAATTTTTGAGTCAGAGAGTGCTATGTTCAGATCTCTGTTTTAGGAATATTGATTTGGCAGCTATGTCAAAAATGTACCACATCAAATCACATTTGGGTTATCAAACTTGGGTGGGGGAGTTATAGCAAAGTTTAAGAGGGATCATTAGTGTAATGGGAGTTGGGTATTCATCTTGGAAAACTGGAGGTTTTGAAGATGAGAGGTTTAGAGTATACTGTAAGCGGCCAACAAAAAGGAGAAACTTAGTTTAAACACATTGTCCATGATGGTAGCATGGAAGGGAACTTTGGCCTCTGGCTCCCAGTAATGGAAGGCAGAGTGTGGGAAAATTGTCCCTGAGTCCTTTTAAGACACAATACCCCAGTAAGCCATTATTAGAGAAGCTATTCATTGGACCATTTGCCTTAGTGCTGCACTCTAATGACCACTGGGCCTTTCCATCATCTTCCCTACAGCTGAGCCTTTCTGTGTATGTTATCTCCTATTAGAATGTGAGATCCTGTGAATTCAAATCCAGCCTCAGACACTTTTACTAGTGGTGTTACCCTGGCAAGTCACTTAACCCCATTGCCTAGCAAAAACAAAACAAAAAAAGAACGTGAGATTCTTGAGAGCAGGGACTACTCTTGGCATACATAGTAAGCCCTTAATAAGTGTTTTTTTTTTCTTTTCATTCATTTATTCAAAATGGATTAGAGAGGAAAGAGATTGGAAGCAGAGAGACTAATTAGGCACCATGGCAATAGTCTGAGCAAGAGCCTGACCCAAAGTAGTAGCTATGTACAGAAAAGGGGGGATAGATAGTAGACATTACAGAGGTAAAATCGGGCAATAAACAAGAATTAAGTGCCCATTATGGGACAAGTACTGTGTCCTTCACAGCCTATCTTTCCAGACTCATTGTCCACTACTTCTCCACCCTCACTCTACGATCCAGCCAAATCGCCTTCTCTGCTCCTCATCTCCCACCTCTGTGTCTTTGCACTGGCTGTCTGATGTGCCTGCAATGGAATTTCTCCCCTCCTACACCTCAGAATTCCCCTCTTCCTTCCAAATGCAGCTCAGGCACCACTTTTTAACATGAAGCCTTTCTTGATCCCCCCAGCTGCTAGTGACCACCCTCACAAACTACCTTGAATTTAACAACTTTGTATTTAATTACTTGTATTCTATATATGCTTATAAACGTCCTTGTTGTCTTCTCCATTAGAATGTAAGCTCTTTGAGAGGAGAGATTGTTTCATACATTGAGCTTGTATCCCCAGCATCTTACTGGGCACTTAATAGATAGATGTTCATTGACTGAATTTGAAGGAAGAAGATTTTTTTAAAGTCTACATGAAAGACTTTATACTTATCCCTACTGAATTTCACCTACGTTGTTGTTGTTGTTCAGTCATTTCAGTTGTATTTGACTCTTTGTGACCCCATTTAGGGTTTTCTTGGCAAAGATACAGGAGTGGTTTGCCATTTCCTTCTCCAGCTTATTTTACCAATGAGGAAACTGAGGCAGACAGCGTTAAGTGACTTACCCAGGGTCACACGGTTAGTGTGTGAAGCCAGATTTGAACCCAGGAAGATGAGTCTGACTCCTGGCCCAGCACTCTGTCCACTGTGCCGCTAGCTGCCC